ATACAGGACAGTATAAATATTGCAGTGTTTACATTCCATTTGTCTGCAACCCTCACTAGATCTGGCTTCTGGTTTACATACCTGATTTAAGCCTTCGCTGCCAAGAGCATGATTGACAATGTCCATTCTGCGTTGAACTCATATTATCAGTGAAGATCTAAAATTCTAGAAGCATGGCAGTTCCAGCTCCCATATCAGATGTAATTCCCAACATCCAGTTTTGGAACATAAAATGCAAACCTGGGGGGAAACCTGCTGGCATCCTTGTTCTCAGTCCTAGTCTGAAAATATGTGATCACTGCAACAGGGCTTAACCTTTGCAGAGACTATCTGCTTCCAGCTGTTTGAGATGCTTCTCCACTGTATTTGCTGTATATATATATATATATATATATATATATATATATATATATATATATATATATATATAAAATATGCGCTACAGCTTAGACGTTGCCATTTATGTCCTCTGCCTGTGGCAAAACTGAATAGGCAGTGGACCAGATATCTTCCTTGTTCTCAATCCCTGTCTGCAATTACAGTGCAGATGCAGACAAGCTGAATATAAACAGGATTGTGCCTATAATGGCAGCTCTAAAAGCACAGAAAAAAGGGAAGAGAGAGGATAAAAGTTGCTAACTACCTCTGGATATATTAAAAGGGAAATATGTTTTAAGGATCATGCGATAATATTCTCCAGTCTATTAGTACTTTGAGAGGCAGCTCAAAAAGTCACTGGCAAAAAAAGAACTCTATTAAGCTTGAACTGAATCTAAACTGGCTTTATAACTAAACCACAATGCAAAGAAAGCCAATCCAAGGCATTGTACAGCAATGTATAACACAAATAACGCAATACAAAAAAAAAGGAAGAATAAAACAGTATCATATTGTTCCAAATGTACAAGGCTACCCTCGGAAGAGTTGCTGGATAAAATGTCTCTGTATACCTGGAGATGACACACCTCACTCACCCAGCACTTACTGACATCTCTTGGGGTACTACAAAGAATTTAGTTGAACAGAAACAGACTGAGGGACAAGTAGTAAGGCAAAGCACCAAGAGGAATTAAAACAATATATTGAACTAAAAAGAAAATTGACCATATAATCATAATTTGCTATCTAGCAATATACAACTAGTGAATAAAGGCTCTTTGGAACAGCTAAACAGTATCTTTCCTTGCTGGTCAGTGGTAGGTGGAGTGAGTGCATTGAAGTAATATCAACACTCACAATAAGAAAGGAAGTCAGCTTGCAAGGGGATCACCTCTCTGGGTCTCTGTGTGCTCATGCAGACTCAGTTCAATTTAATAGGCAGGAAGAAAGGTTGTTAAAGTGGAACTTCACCCAAAAGGGAAAGTTCCTTCTATTTGCATCCTCCTTCTCCTTCACTGCCACAGTTGGCACTTTTTTGGGGGGAGCGGGTACCTAGTTTTGACAGGTACCCACTCCCACTTTGAAGTCAGATTGCCGCGGCAATCTTTGAAGAAGTTCAGCCCCTCCTACACATGAGTCCCAGAAGACTGCAGGAGCATTCACAAAGCGCAGCATGGAAGGTTTCACTGCCGATCTCCCTTAAGATGTCAATATCTGCACTCGAAGCTGATTGAAGAATCAGCTCGGGTGAGGACATCACTGGATCCCTGGATGGGTAACTATCCTTATTATAATACTTAGGGGGGGGGGGGAACTGGAGCTCCTTTTAAGCTCACACTACTTTCTCAGTTAATGCAGACTTTATTTCTCTTAAATTTAAGCAGTGGAAGGATAGGTTCTCTAATGCAGTTCAGACTGCCAGGGTGTTCACAGCATACCTCATACCATCCCAGGGAGAAGATTTTTAATCTAAGCTGCCCCCTATGGTGTTCTTAAAGATGCCCTCCACACGCCTGTATTACTGAGTCCGCAGCTAGTGATCTTAAAGTTGGCTGCTGCATTCATGCACAAGTAACTGTTCAACGTAATTCTGTCAGTTCCACAGTATAATAATGCAGCAACAACAAAAGAAGCAGAAAAGTACCACAGCAACTATAGTCCTAGTTACATGTATTTAATGCTTTATAAATAATGTGTGCAGTAGTGGGCTGAGATTAATATCAGAAATGTTTACAAAAGCTTTGCAGTGCATTGAAAATCCAGATACAAAATACTGGTGTAGCACCCCCCCAGTTAGGTGCTAGGAAAAGTAAATTTGATTTGGACCCAATTTAGTCAATGAGGTTATTTTTGTTCTGTTAGGTAAATTTAGTTTGGCTCACTGTACCCAGTGAGGCTGGAATTAGGTTTGGGGTTTAATGTTTAGTGTTAGTGAAGGTACATTTAGTTTAGTTCGCTGTAACCAGTGGAGCTCAGTTTGATTCATCTGGTTTGGTCTTGTTCCAGGAGCTGCATGATTATTTGTTTCTCCCTGTTCACCTGGAGGAGCTCTGGGTAATAGACATGGGAGCATATTATTCAGTAGCTTAATATTTCTGTAGCACCAACCAATCCTTAGGAGGCTCGGCCTAGATGATTCTATGAAAAAGCATAAATACTCTGGAGTAGTGCACAACCTCGTCCCCCTTCCTAAGGGGAGATCATCACCTACTGGCTCGTTTGCTTCTCCTGGGCACCCTGCCAGCCATGTGCTCATCGAGTGGAGGCCTCAGCTGGGAGGGCCTGAAGTCACTGTTTACTGCTGAAGGCTGGCTGAGAGGGCTGTCGTCTGACAATTTAATCTGGTATCACAGGGAGTACAGATGGGGAGAGATCCTAGAGACTGAGGGCTACAGCCCCTCTTGTGTGTGCTAGAAGGTCAGCCATGTGTTTGCTAAATCATTTGTCCTAAGGAGCATGGCTTATCCATTCCTCATGAGGGAGGCTGTTCACTGAGGAAGATTCAGCATTCTCACTACTGCCTTGCAGAATCTGTCCACTATCTGCTATACAAGGACAGTCTTCAGAGTTATGAGTTCCAAGTTTCAAGAGGCTAGTTCAGTGTCCTCAAAATTCATTATAGTAAGTTACTGGAGTATCCTACTCTCCCTAATCCCCATCCAAGTTCAACCCTTTATTAAAAACATCAAAAACCAACCACCCTAGGCTGTTTCTTGAGCCAAAAGAGAGAAAGGACATGTGTGCCTGGCTGCGGAGTCAAAGTGGGAAAAGACCTTAGGACCTACAAAACTGCTGGTCTTTTCGGGGGACCTGCTACACTGGCTATCATAGAGAACATTTCATTAACAATAAAAAAGAATAATAAATATTTCCCAGCCCAAAGAACCACCACAGCAGTGGTTCCTGCTACATAGATAGTTTCTAGTGCTTATTGCAGCACAACAATGGAGTACAATATTTTATGTTTTTAAGTTTTTCAATAAACTGTATTAAATGATAAGTTCACCTTTGGAACATGTTACATATTCCACCCGTTTTTAGGGTGGAACATGTAACATGTTCCCATAACCGCAGCTGAGCCCGCTGCCCCCCTTCCCTCTGACAGATAGTACGGAGAGAAGTTTCCTCGTACTATCTGTCAGATGTGAAAACAGCGCGGCCATGTGGGGCTCTGCACACGGCCGTGTCACTCATTATTCTGTGAATGAGTGCCTACAAGTCCTGGCAGCCTTAGTGGCTGTGGTCTTGTAGTTTTCAATGAATGCTCCACAGAGCTGTGGTAGTTCATTCAAGCTTCCTGTCAGTATATCTGCTTGCTCGTACTTCCCTTATGACAAGCAGATATTCTGACAGGTCTGCAGGAGACCTGCATGCAATGGCATCAGCGATCTACTGATCTCTGCTGCAATACTTTACAGTCTCCTTTGGACAAAAATAATAAATGCACATTTACCTGCAAAAAAAATGCATTTATTATTTTTGTCTAAAAGGTGAACTTATCCTTTAAGCTATGAGACCTCAATTTTTTGCCTTTTCACCACCTTGTACATTCTATTCAATCTGGTTGATATGACATCAGGAAAGTCTTTACGAGAGATAATTTTTTAGATCATTTTGATCTGCTTATTCCATAAAGGGTCTATAATATCTGGTGTTTGGCTGGTGTATCTAGATCACTCAGGAAGTCATGCAGAACACAGTGTTTCACGGTGGGGATGGTGTGTTCAGAGTGATGTGCAGTGTTAGTTTTTCACCACACACAGCGTTTTGCTTTTAGGCCAAAAAGTAAAATTTGGTTTCATCTGACCAGAGAACCTTCTTCCACATGTTTGCTGTGTCCTTGGTTTCTCGCAAACTGCAAACAGGACTTCATATGGATTTCTTTGAACTATGGCTTTCTTCTTGCCACTCTTCCATAAAGGCCAGATTTGTGGAGTGCATGACTAATAGTTGTCCTGTGGACAGATTCTCCCACCTGAGCTGTGGATATCTGCAGCTCCTCCAGAGTTACCATGGACCTCTTGGCTGCTTCTCTGATTAATGCTCTCCTTGCCCAGCCTGTCAGTTTAGGTGGATGGCCATGTCTTGGCAAGTTTGCAGTTGTGCCATACTCTTTCCATTTTCAGATGATGGATTGAACAGTTCTCCGTGAGATGTTCAAAGCTTGGGATATTTTTTTATAACCTAACCCTGCTTTAAACTTCCCTTTCCCTTTCCTGTCTGTTGTGTTCCTTGGCCTTCCTTTACCTTCATGATGCTGTTTGTTCACTAATGTTCTCTAGCAAACCTCTGAGGGCTTCACAGAACAGCTGTATTTATACTGAGGTTAAATGACAAACAGGTGGACTCTGTTTACTAAATAGATTACTTCTGAAGGCAATTGGTTCCACTAGATTTTAGTTAGGGGTATCATAGTAAAGGGGGCTGAACACAAATACACACCACACTTTCAGATATGTATTTGTCAAAAAATTTGAAAACCATTTATCATTATCCTTCCACTTCACAATTATGTGCCACTTTGCATTTGTCTATCACATAAAATGTAATTAAAATACATTTACATTTTTGGTTGTAACATGACATAATATGGAACATTTCAAGGGGTATGAATACTTTTTCAAGGCACTATATATACAGTACCATTATAAGAGTTTACTTATACTATATTGCCAAAAGTATTAGATTCAGGTGTTCCAATCACCTCCATGGCCACAAGTGTATTAAATCAAGCACCTAGGCATGCAGACTGCTTCTACAAACATTTGTGAAAGAATGGGTCGCTCTCAGGAACTCAGTGAATTTAAGCATGGTACCATGATAGGTTGCCACCTGTGCAATAAGTCCATCTGTGAAGTTTCCTTGCTACTAAATATTCCACGGCCAAGTGATAGTGGTATTATAACAAAGCAGAAGCAACTGGGTACAACAGCAACTCATCCACGAAGTGGTAGGCCACGTAAAATGACAGAACAGGGTTAGCACATGCTGCTAGTCGCCAACTGTCTGCAGAGTCAATAGCTAAAGACTTCCAAACTTCATCTGGCCTTCAGATTAACACAACAGTGCGTAGAGAGCTTCATGGAATGAGTTTCCATGGATGAGCAGCTGCATCCAAGCCTTACCAAGTGCAATGCAAAGCACCAGATGCAATGGTGTAAGGTCTCTAGAGCAGTGCAGATGTGTTCTCTGGAGTGGCGAATCGTGCTTCTCTGTCTGGAAATCCAATGTGGGTGTCTGGGTTTGGTGGTTGCCAGGAGAACGTTACTTGCCTGACTGCATTGGGCCAAGTGTAAAGTTTGGTGGAGGGGGGATTATGGTGTGGGGTTGCTTTTCAGGGGGTTGGGCTTGGCCCCTTAGTTCCAGTGAAGGGAACTCTTAAAGCGTCAGCATACCAAAACATTTTGGACAATTTCATGCTCCCAACTTTGTGGGAACAGTTTGGGGATGGCCCCTTTCAGTTCCAACAAAGCATTGGGGGGGGGGCTCTTCACCACCCTGGGGAACATTTTCCACACCAAAAAAACATTTTTTGGAATTCCATTTGGTGGTGAAGAGCAACTTTAATAATGCTTGGTGTGAAACATTATATTCCTTTAAATGAGAAAATATTAAATTAATTAATTAATTAAACGTGTCACTTGTCTGTGATATGGCGTATCTGTACAATGTTTACAGCTCATTGCAGCAAGATTATAATTTCAAAGAAAATAAATGCCCTTTAAATCATTATTATTATTATTATACAGGATTTATATAGCGCCAACAGTTTTACAGCGTGAGGGCAGTACAGTTACAATTCAATTGAACACAGGAGGAATCAAAGAGCTTACAATCTAAAAGGGGAGGGTCAAGTGATACAAAAGGTAATAACTGTGGGGGATGAGTTGATGAAGAAAATACATGTATAATTGTTAGGTGGAGGCAGGACAGGCTTCTCTGAAGAGAAAAGCTTTCAGGGATCGCCTAAACATGGACAGAATAGGAGATAGTCAGACAGATTGAGACAAGGAAACTAGAGAGCAGGAGGTCTTGGGAGGAACAACGGGAGTGATTTGGTTGGTTTTTTGAGACTAGTTTATAGATGTAGCTAGGGGCCGAGTTGTAGATGGCTTTGTAAGTTGTTAGTATTTTGAATTAGGTGAGTGGCAGCTGTCGCAAACTTGCGCATCATCAGAGATGGACGTGGTCCTACCATTTTGTTAAGCTTCCCCATTTTCTCCCCTCATTCCTTCCACCCTCCCTCCCTGAGAGGCACAGTGACAGATGTGGCTGGTTATGGGTCACTGACAGGCCAAGGCACCTAGTTCGGTGCCTAGCAGTCTGTGAAAGTGTAGCCTTTCTCACCTAGGCCAGGATAACTCAGCTGTCCTAAGAGAACTGGAGACTCACTGTCCCAGAAGATTTAACATTTCACACCTCGTAAGGAGATAAGGCAGCTCTCCCAGGATTTGAAAGAATTGTAACCTCATAAAACCTAGCTCAGCCTAGGTGGCAGGATCAGATAACTTCTGGTAAAATCTGTTTTTCCCCTATGTTTCATATCTTGAAATATGGAAGACTTACATAAAAACCGGGCACCTCGTCAGATGGCCAATGCACAGACGAACATTTTGATGGGTCACCTCAGATCACCAGGGGAGTCAAAACATAGAACTCGTACACCGCGTAACGTACAATTTCATAATTCATATCTACATGATCCTTAGACTTATCTGCATAATAAAATACCCGCGGAGAGAGTGTCGCTTGTGCAGCCGGGAAGTTATAGGCCAGGATATGAATTATGAAAGATGCTGGTTCTAATTTTGGGTTCTGCCTGCCAATCCCTCCCTAAACAGAGTATTGGTCAGTTACTCAGAGCCACCCCCCTGCTGGGGGACTTTTAAAAAACAGGCTAGCAGGCCTAAAGAAGTAAGTTGAAGACATCTCCTATCTTTTCATCGTAACATATGGAGATCAAATCCCGCTTCTGCTCTGCAACTTGGATCTGCTGACCCAGGTCTTTGGCAAGTACTTTAACTCTTCCCTTTCTCTCTGATATCTCTTTGCTGTGCTATGGTTCTTTGTGTGTATATATATATATATATATATATATATATCTTAGTTACATCTTTTTTCTGTAAATATTTTTATTGCACCCTGTTTGACCTTTTAGTAATAAATCTTCCTTTCTGTAAGTGTTGAACTGTTTCTATAGCTTTTAATTGCAATTTACGAATCCCTGCCTTTAAAGAGATGCTACTGTTTATTTAACCCTCTGTATAAAAGACCTGTATTATGACCGTTTTATACAGATGATTATATCGACCATTATAGTGTCATAACTGAAACCGAGTTTCCTCTTTCTCTGTACCAAAAAGGAGGTGGTGGCAGTGAATGGTTAATTGCATGATTAACCTGACCCAGTAACAAGCACATTCAGGCTGCAGGCACAGATTGTAGTCCATTAGCTGGAAAATCTCTGTGCAGGGTGCAGCTGGGTGAGGCATTGTTACGCACGTCACATCGCGATTTCCGATTGGCCAGTCCTTCGGTCGCGAGTTTGGTGAGAAGGTCTGGGGTCTGACGCCGCGATCCTGACAGCAGCCAGTTCAGGGATTGGCAGAGAGAGGTTGCAGACACTGAACAGTTGGTAAGGTTGATCATCCTGGTAGCAGAATTCATGAAGGACTGGAGGGGGGGATAGCCTATGTAAAGGTAAGCCAATGAGGAGGGAGTTGCAATAGTTGGCGAGAGATAACCTGGGAGTGAATTAGGAGCTTTGAGGTGTCAATGGTTAGGAAGGGATGTATTTTGGAGGTTGAGAAAGTGATTGAATATGGGGCTGAAAGGAGAGTTCAGAGTCCAGAATTACACCTAGCACCCTGGCATGTAGGGATGGGTTGATGGTTGTGCCAAAATCCTGACTGAAGGGGATCAAGAAGGCTTTTGTTAATGAGGTGGTCACTCAGGGAGAGGGAGAGATTGAAGATGGGAGTTAGAGACTCTAGGATAGAGCCAGATGTGACCAAAGTATTTGAGAGGGAATAGGGTCCAGGGGACAGGTGATTAGGTGGGCGTTGGAAAAAAGTTTAGCAACCTCGTCTGTAGTAGTAGGATTCAATAAGGGTAGTGTTGAGTATAACTGTGGACATAGAGTGTTTTATGGGGAGGCAGTTATCTGTAGAGTGGAGATTTCATCACAAATTGTATGGATCTTATTTTTGAAGTGATTGGCGATCTCTTGGGCAGTGAACAAGTTAGTGGGTGGAGGCAGTGGTGGACAAAGTAGAGAGTTAAAAGTAGAGAAGAGGTGACAGGGACTGGATGAGAAGGTGTTAATGAGAGTGATAACATAGGTCTCTGCTTGGCAATGTGGAGGCAAGAATTGTATTTTTGGAGAGCAGTTTTTTATATTGGTTGAAGTCTTTGTGAGACTTAGTCTTACACCACAGATGCACGTGAGCACGGCTGTGTTTTTGAGACTTCTACTATCGTCTGTTTTCCAGGGTTGTGGGGGTCGGGGCCTGATTCTGTGTGTAGTGAAAGGAACGAGCTTATCCAGGGTGGAGGATAGGGATCTATTGTAGACAGAAGTGACGAGATTGGGGCAGAACAGGGCTGAGATATTGTCATAGAGGTTGTTGGTAGCAGAGTGAAGAAGAGAAGGGTTACAGTGGGGAAAGGTTACTACAGGTAATTGTTAGGCAGTGCCAGTAAATAACACCTTAAGATGCTTATTTCTCTTTCTAAGCAAAAGAGGCTGGAGATTTCTTTATTTATAGCTGGCCCTGCAAAAAAAAACAGAATGGGGTTCCCTCTGAAAATACATTCCAGACCCTTCTCCTTGATGAAGGTCTGGTATGGAGTGTGGAAGGAGGCCCACAGAAAACAAGATGGTGTGGGATCGCCCAAATTCAAAACCAGACCTCCAAAAAGTTTTGTTCACTTCTTTATCATGCTTCAAAACATAGCAGAGAGAGGCATGGGTGAAGTGCCCTTGTGACAGACCCAACTGGGACTGGGGCTTTTGGAGGGGACTGCAGGCTAGCCTCTTGCCTACTGACTATGGGCCCTGGCATCTAAGTGGGCTCTATTTCTTTGGGAGGTATGTGCCTGGGTGGGACCTTTTGGAGTAGTTTAACTTCAGATTCAAGTCCATGTCTCACCAAAACACACAGAATCTGAGAACTGGTGGACCCAGATACAGATTTGGGGCCCAAACCAGCATTGACTGCATCAACGCCCCTCCTAGACTCAGAGCAGATGTTGATAGTCCTCCTGGAGGTTCCTACATGGTGGGATTAGTTTGGTGTCAGCTTTACCTCGTTATCTAATCAGTTTGGGATATTTAGCCCAATGTGTAATATTTGTTTTTATTGTTCATGAGGGGACTGCCCCTAATTCTAGAAGTGTATAAAAACCTGTATTTCTGTTCAATAAAGAGTTCCAGATGCACCTAAGCTAGTGTCGTCCAGTTCTTGAGTGCAATGCCCAGCTATAATACCTTGGTCCTGTGTCCTAGCAGTAAGGAAGCAGTTCCCTGACATAAGCACCCAGGCAGGGTGCCAGGAAGTCCATCACAGCCCTCATTTCTGTTGGATCAATAAAGTTGTTTTATGCTGTTTGGATCAGCAGTGTGTGGTTTGGATTTGTAGTCCTTTGAAAGAACACATTGGAGGCAACTTTGCAAGGTTAGTTGTAATTTGTAAGGGAACTTGTCCCAGAGCTTGATGCATGAGGTGAAACTCTGCTGGCTTTCATGATCTAATTATGTGGAAGCAAAATGCTCTTTTTTAACATTTCCTGGTATGTGATTGGGTATTCTTTGCAAAGTGAAACTTTAAGGAGACAACTGGGGCCAGCCATTTTGGCAGTGTCTGGTTCTCTCTCTGAAAAGGGAGG